TATAATACCAGATTTCTTATAAAAATGATAATCACTATCAGATTTTTATTTTTATAATTAATACTGAATTTCATGGTAGGTATTAATGGGTTAAGTTAAAGTTTTTCGTAATCGCCATGTAAAAAATCACAGACTATCACCATCCTCATGATTAGGGTTGGCTAATATAGGCTGCAACCTAGAGCCCCTCAAGCTAGATGTTATAAGTAGATTGATCAACTGAAATGATAGCAATATAACAAACTCATATTTATTTGACTTTGCAGAAAGCAAAGCAAGGAAAAGAATGTTTTAGTTTGTGTTATTGTGTTTCAAGCAGATAACATATTTGTTGTGGAGTTATTTTGCATTGTAGGCTTGTATTTGTACTAAATTGGTCCTAAAATAGTTCGACATACAAAACGTTAGGAACTTGATATAATAGGTATTACGCAGAGTAATCTTTTTGTGGTCGCTGACTACTTTCATATTCGACTGTCAACTACTGTCATCCGACATCGACTGACCCTTGTTTCCCTTACTACTTCTACTTATATTAGGTGGGAGAGTCTATTAACTATAGAATAGGTGTGTTTCACCATAACAGTATTTGATTTTAGTTCAGAATGTTTAAATCTTAGAAATTTTTATAAATTTTCTCGATGATATAACTTACAACTAAAAAAAGAAACTCCTTCCATTTAATTTAAATTATTTTGAAATACAGGAAAATATTTTGCTTATTGGAAATATTAAATTTAATTTATTAGCTTGAAATTAAAACTAAAAAGCTTCAAGAAAGATTTTTCATTTTTAAAATACATTTTAAACCTTTAGATATTGCGTTTTTGGAGGCACTTAAATTGTTGCATAACTGGGAGGAGAAGACATAGATTCATATCTTTCTCAAGGGTTCTTGCATGTAAGTGACTATAAAGAACCTAATAGGAATTGAAACTCAACTGTCTGAGTTCCAATTCTGAGTTGTTATCCATTACACCACCTGCACATCCAAGGTTACAGCACTTGGTATTCCCAAAGGGTCTTCGATCTAGGTTCTGAGCTGTCTTGATAGGAAAGATGAGCTACTAATTAATGAAGACTTATGAGTAAGTAAATGCAGAAAACAAGAGGGAGTAAAACCAAAACATACATCAGCTTCGAGGAGTGAAATACTAATGAAGTCCATAGGTTACAGAAGAGAATGAACGAAGCTAGTTGTTGTAATGAGAGCCACTCGAAACATCTATGTATTACTTGTATCCTTTGCCATATCCATAGCCATATCTCAGGCTTAATGATAGAGAAATAGTCATGGTATGCAAATTTATTTTCCGACCAATTGTGGGTGTTGTGGGTGTTTATATAAACCAATAGAGCTGAGTGCATAGGCAAGATGTTCCAAATGCTTGTGCGTGTTGGCAACCTTTAGTTTTGAGTGACCTTGTACAAATTCTTTCCAATTACAAACTATTTTGGAAAGTCTCCGGATGTATATCCAATGCCAATTACTCTAATGGTGTTCTAGTTTGCTCAAAATAGAAGATAATGGCGGGATAAGGTTTTATTATGCAAACAGATAATAAAGGATACATAAACATTTCATTAACATAATATCACAAATCCAGATGGTAGTGAATGCTGGCAATTTCCTCACCAATGAGACTTGAGACCAGAGTCAGTGCTAGGGTCTCATGCCCCACATCCCAAATCTATGATAAATTCCTCCCACTCTATTACATCTCAATTTTCAGAAGGTAGCGTTCATGTAAAATACAAATTTTATTGTAACCTAATTATGTACAATAATGGGACACATGCAATATAGGTGACCAATTCAACTAGAAACAGAAAATAAATACAATCAATACAAATAATAGATTATTTAATCTTAAATAAATACTAATTAAAGACATATCATAATAGATCATTCCATTTTAAATAAATCAACAATGTTTTGTGGCAATTTTTAACATCAACTTTAGATTTTTCTTGTTAAAAAGTTGAAGAATTTGCACTAAAGAGATCAATTAGAAAAGATCCAACTCAATCCATATAATGTTTGGCATGTGAGAGAGGAATTTCAGCTACGACAGTCCAAAGAGCAGTTAAAAAAAGAATTGAAAATGAAATCGTACGTGAAACCTGTGAGTCAGCTTGTTACCCCAGGACAGAAAATTAGAAGGTGAGAGAGGGTGATGTTGATCTTGAATAAAATGGAAAATGATCCTGAATATATATATATATATATATATATATATATATATATATATATATATATATATATATATATATATATATATATATATATATATATATATTTGAACTTTATTTTAATCCTTTATGAGCTTTCGATCCTTATCTATGAATAATTAATGATGAACATATCATTTTCGTTTATGATCGATCTCATCGCACTTCTCCTGTTAAGCTTGGAGAGTAATTATTCATTCTTATTGTTGACAGTAGAGTCCAGTAGTGTTACAAAAATCTCAGAAAATTTCAGTAAGATATCTTTAATCATTTCTAGGATACAACAGTTCAAAGCTTAATGTAACAATTGAACAATTTTGCTGTTACACGATTTGGACAATTTTGCTGTTACACCCAGTAGATATATGAGGTACTGATGGAAATGAAAAGAGGGGTGGCAAAATACATTTACTATTTTATTAACAGTAACAAGGCAAACGACAATAAGACATGACACAAATATGTGATGGTCATACTCTAGAAGATTGCCTTTAATATAAATTGAGGTCATGGGTTACTATTTAGGAATATCTCCCCCCCACCATTCGTGTGAGTCTAGATGTTGGTTACAGCATGTCATGTTTCAACCATTTCTCAGGTCCAGACTATCTCTCTTATGTGCCGAGGGCACTAGCTCACCTGGGATATTTGATTGCTAGTCAAGGGGTTATATCTAAATCCCTACAGCTTTTTTTCTGATTCTAAGTATAATCATCCTTATTGTTTACACTTTCCTCAAAACTTCCTCATTGCTTACATGCTCTGTCCATGATATTCTCAGCATCCTTCTGTAGAACCATATCTCTGTTGCTTATGGGTCATTTAATGCCAAAATTTAATTTTCTTGGGAGCATTAGTAATTTCTTTTGTAGATATTTTTTTTAAAATGCATTGCTGGTAATTTTTTTTTTTTTTTTTTTTTTTTTTACAAAAAATGTATTGCTGTTAGTTCTTCTACTATGAAAATGTATTGCTGGTATTTTTACTATAAAAATGTATTTTATACTTTTGTAGTGTTTTGACCCCAGTTTGGGGGTTAAATGTTTGGTTTACTGTTTGCCCATAGTTGGGAGCCTAACAGGTGCTACCATTATGGATCAGGGTGGACCAGGGAACAACAGCAATTAAGAGTTGGTTCCATGCTCCTCAGAACCTCCCAATCAGAGGCCTTGCTGCCAGATGTAGTTTATCGTCATACCCAGAATGATAACTCAATGTTATTTCTATAAATACACCCTAATGCCAAAAGCACAAAAATGCAAACACATTATTACCATTAAAAAAATATTGTAAGTGTTAATGTATTTGCATCTTTTTTTTTTTTTTTTAACAAATAAAATTTATTAAGAGTTACAAAGGATGGGAAATTGTGGAGAGCTATGATTACCAACGTTCTGAAGGGACATGGCATATAGAAGATCATTCATAAATATCAATTTTTATTTTTATTTTTTTTCAGGTTATTTACTTTAAATGATTAGATGGTAAAATGAAAGTTTAATCTGTTTGCTTAGCTTAAGTACAAGGCCATCGTTATGAAGCACCCAGGATAAATATATTAATAATGTTCTACAAGTTTGATGACCATTAGACCATAACAAAGCATGTTCAGAGTAAATATGATTGTAACATATTGTTTAAATTAACCCTTTGAGCCCTGCATCCCTGAACAATTTTAACCCTTCTGCTTGAGATCCTGAGTCAAAATTCGCAAAAAATTGATATGTAATGTTTCACGGTAGATATAAAAATACTTATAAGTGTTTAACCCCTGTTCAACCGGTGGCTGGGCATTGTCATTTTTCTTTACCACCAGTAAAGCGGTGGTCAGGGCTCCAAGGGTTAAGAAATCAAACTGAATTTGCAAATAATTGGTATGTAATGTTTCATGGTAGATATAAAAATAGTTACAAATGTTTACCCACAGTTAAACTGGTAGCTGAGTATTAAGTCATTTTTTCTCTACCACTGTTCAACAGGTGGCTGGGCATTAAATCATTTTTCTCTACCACTATTCAACCGGCTGCTCGGAATTAAGTCATTTTTCTCTACCACTGTTCAACCGGTGGCTGGGCATTAAATCATTTTTCTCTACCACCGTTCAACCGGTGGCTGGACATTACGTCATTTTTCTCTACCACCATTCAACCGGTGGCTGGACATTACGTCATTTTTCTCTACCACCATTCAACCGGTGGCTGGACATTACGTCATTTTTCTCTACCACCGTTCAATCGGTGTCTCGGCATTAAATCATTTTTCTCTACCACCGTTCAATCGGTGTCTGGGCATTACTTCATTTTTCTCTACCACCGTTCAATGGGTGGCTGGGCATTACGTCATTTTTCTCTACCACCAGTAAAGCAGTGGTGAGGGCTAAAAGGGTTAAGAAATCAAAATGAATTCACAAATAATTGGTATGTAATGTTTCAAGGTAGATATAAAAATAGTAACAAATGTTTACCCACCATTCAACCTGTGGCTGGACATTATGTCATTTTTCTCTACCACTGGTAAAGTGGTGGTCAGGGCTCAAAAGGTTAAACAAAGTTTAATGTGTTTACTTTAGATTAGCCACTGAGAAAAATAAAAAAAATGGTATGAGATTTTATGTATTTCAATATTTATTTACAATCCTTTTTCAGATTTCTGGTATTGTTTTACTAGCAATTGGAATTTGGTTAGTCCGAGAGAAGCATCATTACATTGCCCTCCTGGAAACTGGTACCTTCCCTGTAGCCACGTACCTTCTCCTTGCCTCAGGGGGAATGATCATTGTTGTAGGGCTGATTGGATGTTGCGGAGCAGCCAAAGATATCAGATTTTTACTTTTGTTGGTAAGTATAACACCTGCTCCAATTTTTCCTTATTTTGTGATAGATAAACGTCTATTACAAACCCAGGGGGGAAAAGAAATATGGACTCTTCCCACATGCATTAGCCTTTATTAAATAGTTTAAGCCCAGTACTGGTTTAATTGTATCTATATTCAGTTGAGTGATTTATGCCCCTTAAACCTCCTTGGGGTATATGGGCTTATCACCAGTAGCAGTATCTTTGCAGTGAAGCAGTTGATCCTGTTTTACTCAGGTGAATTGGGATGTTACTGATTCATAGCCTACATCCAACTCTCAGACATGGCTCCAAGAAGTCACATTGGCCACACCCTGGTCAACAGTTTCAACCTGCTGGCTAGACTGTGTGAGAATATTAGGAAGTGTTTCCTGACCTAACCAGTGAAGATGGACACCACTTCACAACCGGCTTGTGACAAGTAGCCATCGGCCAGTCACCAGCCAGGGTGTATGAGCTGTGTCTCAGATGTCAATGGCTTTACCAGTGGGTAGAGGAACTTCTGAGAAGACATCCCGATGCAAAGGAACTGGCAAGCCATTGCACTATTCTGCCTCAAATGTCGGCATGAACCAAAATTACAGCAGAGGAGAGTGGTGACCACAACAGCATAAAATACATTAACTGAATGAATAATAATGAGGAAACCTTCTTCAGTCTCATCTAAAAGAAATTGTTTATTGTAGCTATCTTGTCTCAAACATGAATATAGAGCACTTTAAAATTAGCAAATATAAATAAATGTTAACCATATTTTTGTGATGGGATGCTGAAAAGCATATTTTGGCATACTTTGTGGAAAAACTGAGGGAAAGAGGCTGTTGAAGAGAATTGTCTCTTAAGGTTAGCAAGTGAGGATCGTGCAGCTCCAGGCTAGATATGGCTCCATTTTTGGTCTGATCTAATTCTTGGAAAGATAAAGCATAGCAGAAGGAGGAAGGGAGCCAGGTGCTTCCTGAAGTAGTAAAATAACTTGACCACTTTACTGGCACTGTTTGTATTCATGTGAATACAACAGGGAAAGGGTCTGTGGCATGTTCAACAAAAAAATTGAATCATATATATGTATGTTTTGAGCATTAAAAAATATTGAAAAATTAAAATTTCCAGACACACTGGGTTGTATATTAATATTTTTTTCGTTTTATTATTTCAATTAGGTTCCTCAACTAGTTTTGGCCAGCATGGCCATCATCAGGATAAAAACATTTTTCTAGGAGAAAAAAAATTTCTGCTTGTTAGTAGCAGTGAACTATAGGAGTGAATGACTGTTTATGAAAAAAATGAACTTTATCTGTAGTTTTCATTTGTTTTTTTATTTATTATATTTTTTTTTATCATTTTATCGTCGATTTTGGTCGGCTACTGTGTTTGTCAAATGCCCGCTTTCAAATTGTTTGTAAAATGGAGACTAGGGAGATACATGAGTCACAGAATTCCCTCCTTAGTCATTTTGACAGTTTTATTGGTTGCTAATAGGATATATATATATATATATATATATATATATATATATATATATATATATATATATATATTAAAATTAGATCACTTTTCAAAGTTTAATCAAAAATAATATCACTCCATGTACTGAACATGTGAACAATGATGAAGTTCTAAAGATAATGGAAACAAAAAGTACACTTACACTTAATATCAGGAAGAGACAGTTCAAATTTCTAAGGCAGATATTAAGGAAAGAGGGCTTGGTGAATTTGATACTCACAGAACAGATTGAAGGGAAGAAAGAGAGGAAAAGAAAGCATAAACTAACTGTCAAGCTGGAGTGAATGGATAGCAGAGCAGGTTTGGGAGAGATAGTGAAAAGACAAAATTTATTGAAAGATGCAAAGGACAGGAAGTTGTAGAGAGCCATGATCATTGATGACCTGAAGGAGAAGAACTTGGTCCAATCATGAGAAGAAAGTCAATTCAAAATTTAGTAGCACTGGATTTTCAAATGTAGTTTGATTTGTTATCTGAATCTAGTAATTCTATACTGGAAATAAAATGGACCAACAACAGATTCCACAAGACATCAGGAAGACTCCACACCAGAGACTGAATTTCATAGATTGGACTACCAAATTCTGTGTGAAATAAAATTTCACCTGAAGTGGTCTGAGAATGGTCTGTGAAGAAATGTGTTATATTTGGCAAGTAATATGTATGATTAACCTAATCAAAGTTTTATTATTCATCTGTGCATGTATATGTGTGTATATATATATATATATATATATATATATATATATATATATATATATATATATAATGTTTCATTAAATAATATAGACAAGTGTTGTCTATTTATTTTATGTAAATTCTTTTTATAACATCTGATAAGTTTAATAACATTATCATTGAATGAAGAAAGAAATTCACAATATGGATCCATATTTTTTTAATACAATCTAAGCTTTCGGCTTACATAAGCCATTATCAAAGATGTCAATTACAACATATTAAGCAATATATGGACAAGACAGTGACTATCATCACTGTCTTGTCCGTATATTGCTTAATTACATCTTGCTATTTCAACTGTAAAATGAATAAACCTTTCTGCCAATTTAGTACTGCACTTCAGATTATAAAGTCTAGGTACCATGGAGAAAAGTTCATCAGAACAATTACCATTTGTCAAAATTTAGTTCATATATAAATCAGTTCACAAATTTAGTTCACATATAAATCAACATTTCACAAACAATCAAAATAATATTTTAGAATTGTAGAGATTGTCCCAGAATAAATCTATAGAGTGAATGCGAATGTCAGTGTGTCACACTTTTTCAACTTTACTCCTTGATGCCGATGCCTATCATACCATTTTGGAATCGGGCTGACTCCATGAGCAAATTAAAAACATTCTGCACCAGATTCAAACCAACGATCCTGAAATTTTAGATTCCTAAGTTTTCATTACTGTGATTGTCTTTGGCAATTTTTTTACGTGAGATTTTGCAATAAATTTTTTTGTATGATAACAATTTTTATAACTTGGAAATAAATTTGAGAATAATAAAAATTAATTGTGAAATCCTGCGAAAGTCACATATGAAATAAAAATAATTGCCTGTATGGAAAGTAAGGACCCACGTACATCAAATTGTCTTTAAATTAATTAAGAATTATCGTTGAACTTTTCAAAGGTAAGCTTAGATATTAATGCAATACTTAAATACAGCAATCAGTTTTGAGTTCTTCTGTAGTATAATTTTGCCCATCGCATCTACTCCTCCCTACCTATTTTGACGAAGGCCCAATTAAGAGCCCTCCAAAGGAGCTAGCTTAAATGCCACCAGATAGGGCAGCTTTTAAGGTAGTAAAATCATAATTTTCATTTATTTTCATTTTGCTTTATTTTTTTCAAATTCTAGTACACGTTGTTCCTTCTCCTCATTTTCCTATTGGAAGCCCTTGCTGGTGTCTTGGCCTACATGTACAAGGGAGCTGTAAGTATCAGAAATGTTTGGATATATTTTACTTGTTGTCAAAAATTTATTTTTTAGCTCACCTCTGTAGTTTTTAATTAAGTATCGACTTTTGGAAGAATTCAGATTCAGCTTTACTAAAATTAAATTTCAATAATGATAAAGATACAAGATAAATTGTTGAGAAATTCAATGATTCTGCTTTTTTTTTTTTATTGATTTGTTTTTTACAGTTTATCAACCTTTTGCAGGTTATTTAAAACCAGAAAATATTTTTAGATTGTAAGAATTATTTTAGGATTTGCTGTTCCTGGAAATTTGGATTCGCAAGTTTTTGTTACTGCGATTTTTTTTTTTTTTTTCATGATTTTTGCGACAAATATTTTTGTACAATAACAATTTTTATAACTTGGAAATAAATTTGGGAATAATCAAAATTAATTGTGAAATCCAGCAAAAGCCACCAATGAAATAAGAATAATTGTTTGTTTGGAAAGTAAGGACCTACATACATCAAATTGTCTTAAATTAAGTGGCAATCAATTTTGAGTTCTCCTGTAGTTTATTGTTGCCTATCACACCTACTCCTCCTACCTATTGTGATGAAGACCTAATCAAGAGCTCTCTATAAGAGCTAGATTAAAAGTCACTTGATAGGATAACTTTTAATCTAGTTAATTTATAATAGGGTTGGGAGAGGAGATGGATATATACCCCCTTTCTAAGGGTGACTACACATAAGTGAATATAATGAACCTGACTGGAATTGAAACTCTGCTCTCTGATTACCAATTCTGAGCTCTTATCCATTACACCAGCCACACATACAAGCTTGCAGCACCTGTGTTGTCAAGTAGTCACACATCTAAGTAATTACTGGGCTTGATGTTGCTTAACTATGATTATCGGACCAGAATCAATGTTTATATTGATGTAACTACATATGCACATGAAGGAGAGGGGGCACTGAAATTTTAACCTTTTAAATTTAATTTTTCTTTCTTATAATTTTTTTTTATCCCATGACCCACAGGGTCATATGTGCACCATGTGTACTGTAGCTGCAGTAGAAGTGGTGTTTCTTGGGTTAGATAGCCTGACTACAGGCCAGTTTTGAATTTAGAGTTTTTTTTTCTCCTAGCCTGGTTGCCATCCAAGGCTATGGAACACAGTTTGTCCTGCTATTTACCCATAGCCAGGGCGAGAAGAAGAGGATTCATACCTTTCCCAAGGGCATTAGCACATAAGTGAATGTAATGGATCCGAGTGGAATCTGAACTCAACTCTCTGATTCCCTAATCTGAGCCACTATTCATTACTTCACTGTACCTCCTGGGAGGCACAGTGGCATAATGGATAGTGGCTCAGATTGAGGAATCAGGCAGCCAAGTTTGAATTCCACTCTAATCCATTACATTCACTTATATGCTAATACCCTTAGGAAAGGTATAAATCCTCCTCTTCTCCCCCCAGCTATGGGTAAACAGCAGCACAGACTGGATTCTGTAGCTTTGGATGGCAACTGGTCTACTACAGAAAGAAATGGCAACCTACTTTGGGAAAAAAATCTGCCTCGTCAGTCATGTATCAAAAGATACATGATCACTTAAGCATGTATCACACATGGCACATAACTGACTTTCCTTATAATATGTGTTTGGGTATATAGACCAGGCTTGACATTGCTTAACCTAGATGATCAAATGAACACCAATATTTTAATTTGTTATGGCCATAAACCAAAATTATTCTACTGTGATCTACAAAATGATTTTTTTTTAAATAGGCTTATCATGACAAAATGATAAAAAAATAGGCCTTTTGTTTTAGAGATCATTACTGTTGTAGAGAGTTTAATCCTTGCTGGGTACTCTCTGTTCATGTGCCAGGCTTAGTAAATAGTTATACATAGATATCTTGCATATCTCTCACTCTCATTTTCTGAGTCTACCTGTCTGCCAAAGTGGCTGGCTAATCCCTGTTGCAACCGCCTGCTCAGGCAGATATGTTTTTTCAACATTCACTAACGCCAACCAGAGTTTCATACTGCAACTATGCTCAGTGTACCTTAGAGTTTTAGCGAGATCAAGCATATAGGAATACATAGGTTTGCCTATTGTCTGGTTCACACTTCTCCCTGGTCTTTTGAACAGGAGTAGAGGTTTATCCCTTGTTTCCTGCTTAGGATTGGGTTTCTGGTTTCTTCTAAAGTCTACTTCAGATCTGTACTCCTAATGTCTGTGCCTGAACTCTGAAATTTTATTCTCTACTTATTTCATTTTTTTTCACTCCTCCATGAATAGGAGTAGATAGGTTCACCTATCATACAGTTATCACTTCTACCTAGTCTTTTGGACAGGAGTAGAGATTTATCCCTTGTTTTCTGTTTTGGATTGGGTTTCCGGGTCTTTTCTAAAGTTTGCTTCAGCTCTATACTCCTAATGCTTGTTCTTTCCAATGCTAATACAAGTCCACACAGTAACCTTCTACCTTGAGTGGCTCTTGGACCTTGTATTGGGTGAATATTAGATTATTCTTATTTTATTTTTTTTACTGTTATGATCAGCAGTTTTCAACAACGCCTGTATGCTCAAAGCATCTGTGACAGTCACTTGTGACTTTTGCACTAACATAACCATCGATAGATAGATTCCAAGGAGTTCCATCTATCAAATTTCATTCACAACTCTTGGGTCAACCTGTGATATGGTTTACAGGTATTTCCGAATAGTGCTGCAAGATGAGATTGTATTTCCAAGACAATATTAGCAAGAATTCATCTTCTTCAAATTGCAATTCAAATCCAAGTTTCATGGTCGGACTGCTAATGTTCTAATCATTTGGTCACATACCAACTCTGTAGAAAATAAGGTTTTAAGTTAATCACATTTAATGGAGGAGAATATAGAAATGAAAAAAAGTTATTTTTATTTTTTTTTAAATTTCCTATCATGCATTTCTTTTCTCTTTTCAGATTCATGAAGAAATTAAGCGAAATTTGAACAGCACAATGTTAGAGAATTATGAATTTGATATAGAAAAGACAAAGGCCATTGATGAAATGCACACCACAGTACGTATGAAATCTCTATCATCATCATCATCATCAGCATCTTTTGACCTCCCTATGGTTGGTTGGAACTCCATTGACAATCATTTTCCACCCTCTCCGGTCCTGTAGTGTATATGTATAGCATACATTAACATGTTTTGAAGGGGTATATTCATGTTAATTGGTTTTAATAATGGAGTGGGGTTAGACTTTTTTTCCCAACGCCAAAACATGGTTCCCCCTCTGCCTTTTCTATAAGTGTTTTCTTGATAATTTTTATGATGAGCTTTCCTCTTTGGTACCTTAATTTTATAAATTTATCCACATTAGTTGCCCGGCAGCTAATGCGCATAAATTTATAAAGTTAAGGAAAAAATATTACCAGCAATAAAAATCTTGTTGGCATTAAATAACTCGTTGAGGTTGGTATGCTACAAAACAAACCAAACCAAACCTTACAGTTGTGAAGAATTTGTTAGTGTTTTTTTAAAGTTATCAGCTCTACACACAACCAATTTTGAATTCAGGATTATCCTTCTCCCAGACTAGCTGCCAAACAAGGCAGGAAACCCAAGTCTGCCATGCCATTTAACCTATAGCTGGGGGAAGAAAAGATCAATTCATGCCTTTCCCAAGGGCTTTTGTGAGAAAATGAATGCAACAGACTTAGTTGGAATTTGAAGTTCTAGAATCAACTGTTATCTATCCTACATAGCTTCATAACCTGCATATACTTCCTCCTCTTACAGTCACCATTGAACAACTTTATTCAGTAATCTTCTACCTTGTGTGGCTCTTGAGCCTTGTATTGGAGCAACAGTACAAAAATTATCAAATGAAAATAAAAATATTCTCTGCTTGAGAGAGATTGTGAAATTTTTTGGTATTTGCTTTACTGATTGTAAACCCATTAATTTATTAGAGTTAATTTTAAAAAAAGTGACTCTTTTTCTTTGTGATTTTCTAGTTTCATTGTTGTGGTGCCGATTCTTATAAAGACTGGAAATATAGCAGATGGTTACGTGAAGATGTAAAAACGCATAACAAAGCTCCTGACAGTTGTTGTAAGACTCCAAGTTACCAATGTGCAGCCAGGGACCATCCATCAAATATCTATTATGATGTAAGTAAAAACAATATTGATTTTTGTGAGCAATGTTTCAATAAGATTATTAATGTCATTTAAAATCTTTAAATGTTTAAATTTTCTCTTTTTTTTTTTTTTTTTTTTGGACTTTGTCAAGGATTTCTTATGTCATTAGTGGGATTTATTAAACAAATAGGAATTTTTTTTAACATTCAAAATCTTAAAAGGTTTAATTTTGAACTTTTTTTTTTAGTCTTTTTGTAATTTATCAAGTATTTTTTGAGGTAGGATTTATTAAACAAATAAGAGACATTTTTAACATTCAAAATCTTAAAATAATTAGAATTTACTAAAGGAATAAGTGATTATTTTAACATTTTGAATGATAAATCATCATTGATTGCTTTTTCCATCAGCAGCAGATTGCAAACTCACATGAGATATTTGTCCCCACAACCAACGATCTTGAGCGGCTGTATTCAAATGTTTTAAGTCGAGGCTTGATCATTCACATATATTATCATGCCAACATCTAGGTTAGTGGATTCTTCTCTTTCTTCCACTTACCAGATCTTCAAGGTAAATTTTGCATTGGCCACATTTTGTTTATTTGCTGTACTCATAAATTTTCAGATAATATAGGTGCATGGCTAGTTGGTTAGAACATTCTGATCATAATACCTGAGTTCAAATCTCATCATGGTCGATTTACCTGGAAGATGACTTGAGATGTTATTTGCCTGGGGAAGAAATCCCAGGGTGTGGCACCTTTGGAAGGGTTTGGTACATTTCAACATATCCCATTTGGTGTGGCTGTTTCAGCATCAGAAAAATAAATGGACTATTTGACAGAGCCATTTAGGCATCAGATTATTTCAACGTCACTGTCTTTGACTGGAGCAACCCCTGAAAAAACATATAAAAGCATTGAAAACACCCAAATTTCTATATGACTTTTTATTCATTTAGGGAACTAAGGATTCTATTAAAATACTAATGGAATAATGTAAATTAAGAACTTAAATTCAAAATATTGAATTTCAAAAAAAAATTTAAAAACTTAGTAAAGTGGTTTAACTTTAGAAATTATTTCTTCATTTCATAATTATGAGCAACACCCTTCAGGAATTCAAAAGGATCTAATGATTTAACTTCCATTATGACATTTTGATTCGTTCATCAGCATCCCTATATATTTTATCTTTTTGTGGTCATTATATATTTTATCTTTTTGTGATCATTTTTCGAGAAATGCATCACGTCCTTTCTGAACTCTCCGTAAGGCATCAATAAATTTCCAAATTGAAGTACGATGCTCCAATTTTTCTTAAATTGGACTATTCAGGCATATAACGACAAAATACTAACTTAACTACTAAATGAGAGAGAACAAATTTGACTATAACGATAAGGTAGTAATCTGGCACCTAGTCGTCCCTCTGCTGAAAAATTCCTATGTCGAATCAGCCATGCCAAATCAGTGATGCATTTCCAAATGGGCTATGCTGGAACATCCCATTCCCCCTTTGTAAAGTGTTTGAAAACTGTACCCTTGGTTGAATCAAGCCTTGTGAGTAAAATTGTGTAGACACAACTATTTGGGAGCTGTTGATAGTTGTACTAGCATGAAGTCACCAGTCATTGTGACCGAGGGTTTGAGTGTACTGATCTTGTTCAGAGTGTTGATCATGCCTGATAATACACTCTCTCTCAGAAACTGTAACTAAGGCCCACTCAGCATAGTTGCAGTATGAATCACAGTTGGGCTCTATAGGTATTGAACAAACACAAATTTCTCTGAAAAGACGTCTGTAACCAGGATTGGCTATTCCCCTTAGGCGTATTCAGGTATGAGAAACCAGCCACCACCACCACCAAAGTTTCAGAACCCTTGACAATGGATGTGATAAGAACTAGCCACATGACTTGTTGAAGTTTCTCAATTTTTCTCTGTTTACGCAGATTATGGTTTTTGAATATTTCTATTATCTTTAATGACGTAGAGGTTCAATGGTCACCAACCAGTGGTCCGTGTAAAATGTTTGACGGTCTGTTGAAAAATTGGGACATTATTTCAATTTTTATGAAGCTTCATACAAGTAGCGAAATATATTATTGATGGTATATATGTTCAATAGCTTATATAATCTCAAAATAAACGTGACTACACAAGTACACAAATGTGACATCATCCGTCCATAGTATAACCTAACATGACTTGCAAAATTCAAATTTTCAGTTTATATTATTTAAACAATTGTACTACAGTGTAACCCGGATATAAGAAAGATTTTCTCTGGTCCCAAATTAGTGTTAATGTATATAATTTTCTCTGGTCCCAAATTAGTGTTAATGTATATAAGATAGACTAAACCCGGATATAAGAGACTTCTTCTTCGGTCCCGACAACTCTCTTATATCCGGGTTACCCTGTATAATTTTGTTACCTTTAATGGGTGCATTTCATATTAATAAAATAAGTTTTCTAATCATTATTATATAAATATATTTACCTTTTTTTCTAAATTCATATTAGTGGTCCACCAAATTTAAAATTATACATTGAGTGGTCCATGAAGTTGAAAATGTTGGTAACCATTGCTCTAAAGCATATTGTACCACAGGAAATATATAAGCGTTAGAGATCTTGGACTTGATATGATCTATAATACTTAACATTTTTTTATAAAGGATTATTTATGATATCATAGGTAGGATTTATTTGTTGGGAGAAGACTTCTCTTCTCTACAGCAACTTTCTTTGGATTTTTAACATATTGACTGCCAACCACTAGTTAGTACTTTTTATTATCCTGCTGACTACAAGTTTGTCATTTTCTGATACATTTTCACCTACAGGTGCCAACAATGATTCTATTTGCAGTGATACTTTTAGTGTGAAAACAATGACAAAACTTCTGTTGAAGCTATAAATCAAAAAATGATAAAATTTAAAAGCCTACTAGGGGGACAGATGAAGATATTAAGTGCCAAATCAACAAAGCCAAACACGCTTCAAAACACTGTGGCCAATCTGGAGATCAACAGCCTTCTCACTTTACAAGATCCGGATCTTCAACACCAATGTCAAGTCGGTCCTACTTTATGGCTCAGAAACCTGTTGGGTAACCAAGACCAACACCCACAAATTTCAGACATTTACCAACTGATGTCTCAAAAATAATGTTCAGTATCAGGTGGCTGGAAGTTGTCTCCATCGACCAACTGTGGGATAGGACCAGACAAGCCTCAATCGAGATTGACATCAAGAGTTGGAAATGAGGATGGATTGGCCACACACTCTGCAAGCCTGCTTCTAGTGTTACCAGGCAGGCAAGCCATTGGCTGGAATCCACAAAGGAAGTCATCTCAAATGACCAACTGTGGTACAGGACTAGACAAGCTCCAATTGAAATTGACATCAAGAGTTGGAAATGGGGAGGATCGGCCACATACTGTGAAAGCCTGATTTTAGTGTCACCAGTGACTGGAATTGACAAGCGAAGCGAAAAGTGTGTCAACCAAAACAGACCTGGTGTAGAAGTGTTGATGCAGAGGTGAAGGCAGCTGGCATGACATGGGACGAGCTGAGATGTTCACTGGGAACCACGTCCGTTGGAGGGGTGTTGTTGAGGCCATATGTTCCTCAAGGAATCAAGAAGCATAATAAAAAAAAAAATATAAAAAAAAAACAACTTAGGCAATAAAATACTTTATTAATTTTTTTTAATCATTTCACCCCAAACAAGGCAATAAAGCTACTAAAACACAAGGGGTTACTGAGTGTGGGAGAATATCAGGGAAGAAAATATCATTATGGAGAGAGAACAATAAAAGATATTAAGAAGAAAGAAGATAAATTCTCTAACAATCAGTAACCCCTTGCATCTTTGTGGCTTTATTGCTTTCCTTTCATTGAAATAATTAAAAAAAAATTAATAAAAGTATTTTATTGCTTAAATTGGCTATTATAAAGTTGGCTTTTGAAGACAGATTTTATAATTGACTTCTGTCAATCAACATGCTAAAATTCAAAATGTTAAGTTTTAAAGAGTTTTTGCATGTGATTTTTAAGTAATTCTTTATATTAGAGGAAGGATTTATTAAGCAAATAGTCCAGCAAATATCCAGCTGTTTAACAAACGATTTTTACGAGCGCGTCAATAACGGCAAACGCGTTCAGGAACTTTCATTACGGACAGAAGCTGCAAAGAGGAACAATCGTTTTATTTATTTCATTAAGAATTTGCAAAGAGAAACGATCAATTATTATTTTTTTTTTTTTTTTTCATACCCTGCCTGGTGGCAAATGCTGCTGGTGGCGCCTGGGGTGGCGGTCCCGCCATAGCCATTTAAACCGTGAGATCACCCCTGGTCGGCGGCTGATGAAGTCAGGGTATCGCACGCTAACACACATTGTAAAAAAAAAAAAAAAAAAAAATTAGAGGTAGGATTTATTAAGCAAATACATGATCAGTCCAGAAAATATCTAGCTGTTTAACAAACATATATCTGATCTATAACAATAGCCTTTTACTCTGCATATAATTATTACATTGTGTGATTTCTTCCTAGACAACAAAATAGGCTGGTTCTTGGTTTCCTCTGACTCAGTCCTAGTCTGTCTTGTCTTGAAGTCAGAACATTACATGCACTTGTCAGAACTTGCTCTTGTGCATCAACTGTAGTTTGAAAAAAAAAAAAACTTACCTCATGGACGTCTGTACGTAAAAAGAATCTCGTGGGGAAGCCATATTGTTTTTATGCTGACAAATTAACGCAAAATCACGGCGACCATGAGATTTGAGAAAATATAAATATGCAGTGTATGAAAGATGGTGTGTGAGAACAGGAAGTTAGTCTACAAACGGCCAGACAATACGACAGATACAACATCTACACTTTGCCACTCAGGATGTGCGGCTTACTAAGGAATTTAGGCCAGTCTCTCGAATTTAAACTACATCAACCCCAATTCTTAGTTTGTGAACTTTTTGCCTTATTTACTATTGCTTTGCCTTATTACTGTTAGTTTGCCTTGCATATATTGTTGGTTTGCTGACTCCTTAAGTTTTCATATTTTCCATTGAGGTTTTCTATCCTTTAAAAATTGTTTATGTCTGGCTATATAAGATGGACTGGTTTTAATGGTTCAAATTGACAGATTAAATAATCTATTTAAAATCAATTGTAGCTACCAAACTGAGCCCCTCCAACTATAAGGGGGAAAAATATGTGTGTAATATATAATATGCATTCACCTGGTTGGCATAAAATGACCTATCAGAGTTGACACACCATTTTAAATAATCTAACCAAACTTAAATTGGTTGCTAAGACTGAAGAGACCAGTCTTCCTTATGTTGGTTCCAATCTAATGAGGAATGACTGCAAAACACTTTTCCCTCCCCAATTTATAGACCAAAAGCATACAAATGCATGCTGGGATTTCTTCTTAGCCAATAAGATAGGTCACTTGTCAGCATCATCTGACTCAATCCCAGTCGGTCTTAAATTTAGAATGCTATGTTTGCTTATCTGAATTTGCTCTTATGTCTCAACCCAAATTTTTAGTTTGAACTTTTTTCTTTATTACTGTTCATTTGCCTTATTACTGTTCATTTGCCTTATTACTGTTCATTTGCCTTATTACTGTTCATTTGCCTTACATATATTGTTTGCTTGCTTTATATTATCTTTTGCTCTGTTCTTTTCTTTTTCTTGTTATTGCTTATTGTAAACTTTGTCGATTCTGTTTGTTGGGAAGTTCTGCTATTTATTTATATTTAACCATAGCCACTCATTCTACAAATAACAAGTTTGTAGAGATGTAGACGGAATTTTTTTGACTGTTGCAATGACCATCCAGTTTATATAAAGAAGAAAATGACAAATCAACAAAGTTCATTAACACCACCATCAAGTTGATTATGTTTGAAACCTTACTGGACAACCTAGAGTTGTAGCTGAAGCTAAACGAAGTGAATTATGAAATAACAGGCTGCCTCTACATGAGGTAATGGTTAACAAGATAATCTGGCTGACCATTACAATTGAGCAGTCTTTCTATCCACATTACAAATTCTCATAATTAATTTCACCTCTTCTCTCCCACCAGATATGTATTAATTAGTAAGACTTGTATCACTAAACCATTATTATCTCAAAAAGATTCTTACAATCTAAAATTATTCTCTGGCTTTAAATAACCTGCAAAAGGTTGATAAGCCCTAGAAAACGAATCAAACACCCTTGTCACAAAGCTATGAATCCAATTGGAATATGAACTGCCATAAGAGTTAAATTGAACATCTAAAGCCTTCAAGTGGTGGGATCTTTTGGAATATGTCATTTCTTGATAAATTTGGCAGATATCCCAAGGGTATTCATTTTTATGCTAGGTCTACTGAGGATGTTATCAAATACAAAGGCAAATATTTGAAGAAGACCAAAGTGGTTGAAATGTTGTGTGTATAACAACCAAGATGTACATGTTGGTCCAAATAGCAAAGGATATAATAATGAAAATCTTTCATCTAAAAACTCCAACTCTTATATTTCTCGTTTGTACAGATTTTTGCAAAGGGCTATTGAAACTGTTTCAGCTTGAGTATATACTGTACTCATCAGGGGATTTCAGTTCAAAGAGTTAAAATTGAGATAATAATTTTATTCTTGAATTTTTGTTTTCCAGGGCTGCGCTAAAAAATTAGAAGAATTTTTCCGAGAAAATTTAGTCATTATTGGTAGCATTGGATTTGGACTGTGTTGCTTACAGGTGAGTTGTCTCACTTTTGCATATTACCTGAGCAAAAAATATTTTAATAATTACAGATTGTTATCATAGGTGACAAAAAAAGAAATTGTTACAACTGAAGTTTAGAATGAAATGAGTTCCTCAGAGAAAGAAAAATTGATTCTTTTATTTCCTAGTGGAATAATTTTTTTTTTTCTAAATGTTCATCCAATTCCTTTTTCTTTTTATGTGCCATGTCCTTTCAGGACATAGGGGATCATGGCCCTCCACTTCCCTCTATCACTTGCAGTTTTCAACAAGTTCCTTCCCTCTGCTTTCTCCCCCAGACCATGTTCTGTCATCCACTTGCTTAAGCCTGCAGGTACGTCACGCATTGTTTTCCGTTGTCTCTCTTTCCCTCTATTCAACCCATGAGTATCAGATTCTCCAGGCCCTCCTTTCTCATTATGTGCCCCAGAAACTTCAGTTGCTCTTCTTGATGTTAAGTATAAGCCTTCTTCTTGTTTGCATCCTCTCTAAGACCTTATAGTTGCTCACAAGCTCAGTCCATGTTATCCTCAGATCCTTCTGTAGAACCACATCTCCGTTGCCTCGAGTCTCTTCTTCATCTTTGAGGAAATCGTCCAACATTTGCTTTTTAAAGAAGGACAGATGTCAGTATTTTTTCTTTGTTACCAAAGATTTCCTCCTGTCTAAAATACTCTGCCTTTAGCTTTTGGAATGCAAAAAAACATGGCCATCCCAATACGTTTGCATTTACTGTCCTCTTCAGAATGCTTCCCAGATATGTAAATTGTTGAGCCTGCTTGATGAATAGTGTTTTGACCTGCAAATTGTTGTTCTCAAATTTCAAGGATGAATTTAATCAGCATTTGATCAAAAAGAGACAGCTGAAGTTTCTTGGATGCTATTGAAATGTGGGCTGATCTCTTTTTGACAAATAAAATTATAAATCAATTGATCCTTGTTTGCAAAGAAAAGAATATGAACCTCATAATGACCTCACCTTCTCGGTCCATGATATTTTTAGCATTTCAAAGATGAAGAAGAACCATATATTGCAAAGATTTGAGTCTACAGAAGGATTTTGAGGAAATCATCCAACATTTCAAGGTGAAAGAAGGACAGATGTCAGTATTCTTTTCTTCGTTAGCAAAGAAATCCTCCTGTCTCGCAATACTCTGCCCAGCTTTTGGAATGCATCCTTAGCCATCCCAATATGTCTATGGATACAAGGCCCAAGAGCCCTTCAAGGTAGAGAGCTAATGAATGAGTTTGTAGTAAGGGAAGAAGTAAGAAGTGAATATTAAAAGGATATGTAGGACAGCCAGACGGGAGATACGGAAATCAAACAGAGCAATAATTTAGATATCTGAGAAGTGTATTAATAGAGGACAAAAAGTATGACATGGAAATCTGAAAGCACCTTGGGATAGAAAACGGTACCTTCGAAAAGCTGAGCAGAGTATTAAGAAACATAAAAATATTATTAGAAACAAAGTAATGAATACTGAACTGTTATGTAATATCAATCCTCCTATATGGTGGTGAATTCTGAACAATCTCCTCACAGATAAAGACACTTGAAGCAACAGAAATTGTTGTTCTATAGAAAGATGCTGACAATACCATGGACAGAACATGTGGCTCATTAGGATAGGTAAAAATGCCTTCCAAAAGCTGAGCAAAATATTAAGAAAAAGAAAAATATTGTTAGAAACAAAGATGAGTAGTGAATTCTTATGTAGTATCAGTCCTCCTCTTTAGTGAATAATGGACAACCCCATTACAAATGAAGAAGAGGCTTGAAGCAACGGAAATATGGTTCTACAGATGGATGTTGAGAATAACATAGACTGAACATGTGACCAATAATGAAGTTCAAGAGATGAGAAAAAAAAAAGGACATTTATGCTTAACAACAGGAAGAAAAAGTTGAAATTTCTGAGGCACATAATGAGGAAAGAATGCCGTTTGAAAATATCTAATAGTGGTTCAAAGCACAACCTACTTGATGAGCTATTTAAATGGATATTTTAAATTTGTTTTTTGGGAAAGAAAAAATTGACAAAAGCTAATTAAGTTATTTTGAGAGCCATGATTTAGAAATGTCATGAAGAGGATATTTCTTTTATTTGACCATAGACTTGAAAAGGTTAAGATTGTAATGTTCAGGAAGCATTGTCTCCGGGGGTCTGCTTCACAAAGCCCTGGGTAAGAAGCTGTCTGAATGGAACTTCTTCCTTACCAATGGAATATGAAGGGAATGTGGCTGAGTCGACCCTGTATATGTGGCATGACAGGGCCTAGCTGTAAATGTTGGAACCGGTGAAATAAAGAAATGTAGCTCATCATAACATTTACCATATAAAAAACAATAGAGTAGCAAGAGTTTTCATCTGTAGGAAAAGGGTTGTCGGTGGGAAAATAATTCATCACCCACAAGACCGTGTAGGGGCCTTTGAACTCTGTCATGGCTAGCAAATGAGGATTGGGCAACCCTGGCCCTGATATGGCAGCAATATTCCATTTTTGGTCTGATCTGATTCTTGTAATATTAAAACATAAGAGAGAGTCAGGTACTCAAATGGAGTGGTAAAAGAATTATAAATTTTTGCAAGAATGGGAATTTTCAAATTAAATTGGAATAATTTTTTTTTCATTTCAGAATCCTTAGAACTTGTAGCTCTGAATATCTATCAGACAAAGAAAATGCGTTTAAAAAATTTTTGAAATCCTTCACTATCCAATGCCAAAAGAAAAATATACAAAATTCTCAAAACGAAAAAGTATAAACAAGACAAAAATAATCACTTTATTTTTTTTTCAAATAAATAAGGAACTTGAAAGAAATATAACTCATCTCAATATTAAAATTATTAGAAACTCTTAAAAAAAAGTTACCATAATTCCCCATGTATAATATGCCTTCATCCATAAAACGAATCCCTAAAAATTGTGCTGAAAGTGTGAGAAAAAATTTTATACTCATGCATAATTCTATTTTCCTTATTTGGTAATCAAATCTGTATATGATCCTCTCCAATTTAATTATGGCCAGTGTTTCCTACTCTTATTCATAAAAAAATTGAAGATATTTAAATTTCCAATCATCACAATTCTAAAGGAAATGGAAATACCTATAGTGTGTCTAAAATATGCATAATCTCATTATATGTTTTGTTTTTGTTTGATAAAATGTGCAATCAACCAGATCTGTATGTAGTTCAAAAAAGTTATATATAACTTGTTTTGTTTTTTAATAGTTCAAGTCAGATATACATAATTCAAGTTGTAAAGAAAAAGTTAGACATAATAAGAAATTGGTCTGAGAAATATTTATCAAAGCAACAAATAAAATCAATTCATTTAAATTTATTGGTCTTGATAAATGAGTTTTGGAAAAAAAAAAAATTTTTTTAAACATAGAATAATATTATTCTAATTTAGTTTTATAAAATTTTTATTTTATTTTACATTTTAAAGGGTTATTGTTAGATACATATGATTGTATTTGACATTTTTTATAAGAGCTGCAATCATTGAATGTTAGTGTCAATTATATTTATTAACTATAATTATCATATATAATATACCTTCATCCATAAAAGAAAAAAAAAAAATTAATTGAAAATTTGAGACTCTTAAACTAAATGCATATTATTGCACCCTTTGGTAATCAAACCCTATAAATTAAATAACCTCTCCAATTTTATTACAGTCAGTATATTTTCCTATATTTAAAATAAAAAAAAAATGGTTTTAAAATAGAATAATATTATTCTAATTTAGTTTTATGATAATTTTTATTTTATTTTACATTTTTATTTTTTATAGGTTTTTTTAGAAATAAACTATTGATAATACAAACTGGTTGATTTTTTATTTTTTTTTTAAAAAAAAATTTAAATTATGCCAATGGGGAATTATGGTAAGAATTTAATCACTGTAAAAAAAAAATGAACTTTACATCAGTTTTTGAAAGTATTACCAAATAAAATGTAACACAATGCTTCCAAAAAATATTTTTTTGCAAAAATTACCTATTTTCAAAAATAAAAAACAACCTCAGAAATTATAATTCATACTTAACATAAAACATACATATCAACTAATTTCAATAAACTTGGCAAACATGGATAAATGTGTATTCAATAAAATGGTGTGTCAAAAGAATGGTTTTTCCCATGACACCACTTTTTAGCTACTTTCATGATTTTTTTAAGCGTTTCACCCCAAGCAAGGCGAGAAGTCATTAGGACACAAAAGGTTACAGAAAATTTGGAGCAAGATCAGATAGAAGTGATAGAGGAAAGGATGAGGAGAAGGATAGTGGATAGATCAAGGCAACTGGAGATATCAATTGACATTACATTTGAATAGCTGGAGATTATAGCTCTCAGCGAAACTGGAATAGGGAAGGGAGTTCCACAGGCGAGAGGTGCGAGATATGAAGCTATTGGAGTAGAAGAGATGGCTACATCTAGGAGTTTCGACAGTGAATGGGTGAGGATGGGATGCCAGCCTTGTAGGGCGCTTGAACTCATGACGTCTGGGAACCAGCGAATGCAGCTCCTCGGAGCAATTGCCATGAAAGTATTTGTAAAAAGACACAGAGAGAGGCGACGGCGCGTCTGTGAGAAAGTGACTGTAGACGAGATGCCAGAACAGGGCCAATTATATTGCATATCCGCCTCTGGAGCCTATCAAGAACCCAGAGAGGCAAACAGAAGGGGCTCCAGACCATATATGGCAGCAATACTCCATGCAAGGGCGAATTGTTGATTTGTAGATCTGGAGGATCGATTCGGGGAGAAAAATTTCCTGGCGCGGCACAGGGAGCCAACTTTCCTTGCGGTGGACGAAGCAATTGACTCAATGTATTTGTTCCATCTCAGGTCAGCAGTCAACGTGAGACCGAGCAGCCGCAGAGAGTTGCTCTCGAGAAGTTGAGCGTCAGACATTCTAATGGAGGGCAGGGAAGGATCTCTGTGGTGATTAATAGAGAGCAGTTTTTTTTTTGAGGCATTAAAGTTGACCAGCCAATTCCTGCCCCAGTTCACAACCGATTGGAGGTCCTTTTTCGAGAC